GATAATATTCAGGTTATCACGAAACCAGCTATTCACTGTATAGCCTGATGTGGGGTCATTAAACACATCTCTGGCCTCAGAAATGAGGAGACCACATGGGGTCTTGGAAATTCTGTTGGAAAATATTATACAGAATCAGCTGGGACACTCAGTTGGGAGGCAGAGAATTGTAAGGCTGCATCCACGTTAATAAACCTACTGTCAAGGAAAAGAATTGTATCTTGTATCGTTCTTCATCATCTGTGTTAAACCCATTGAATACCCATGGTATATTTGACACAGTTAGAAGCTATAATCCATTGCAGTTTAATGCAGACAAAAGTGGATGAAAGATGATTGTTTATGAAGTCATTCAAAGGAAGCTTGAACACCAAACTATACAGTGATTTCCTGTTCCTTAAATTCCATTTATCCTTGAATTTAATTGCCGAATTTCCTCATTTACTTGGATGCAACCAATTCAGGTATATGATCATAGAAGAATCATAGAATCCCCCTGCAGTGTGGAAGCAGGCCATTCAGCCCAAGAAGTCCACACCGACGCTCCGAACAGCATCCCACCCAGACCCAACCCTCTACCCTATTCCTGTAACCCCGCATTCTCCGTGGCTAATCCATCTACCCTGTACATCCCTGGACAGCATGGGCAAGTTAGCATGGCCAATCCACCTCACCTGCACATCTTTGTACTGTGGGAGGAAACTGGAGCGCCCATAGGAAGCCCACGCGGAGATACGAAGAGATTGTTCAAACTCCACACAGACAGTTGCTCGAGGCTGGAATCAAACTCGGTTCCCTGGCGCTGTGAGGCAGCAGTACTAACCATCGAGTCACCATGCTGCCCTGATATTAACCTTAGTTCTCAATCTTGAATCTAGATTTTCCTTTTGCATTTATGGTGTTATTCTACTCATTCTATTTTCTTACTCAATTTACTTGCATAGTTTTCATTGAATTGGAGAACAATAATGTTGAGTGAATTTCTCTTTGGTCAAATTTTTCACATCCCATCTGACCAAACGTTGATTTGCACAATTGTATAATCTTTTTCAACACTGTTGTAAATACATACCATCAACTTCTTCCCTCGCCTCTTCTTCCACATCACCTTCCTCTTCTTCAATGCTTTCTACAGTTTGCTGATCTTCATCTTCCTCTTCTACTTCTGGATCTTCCTCCTCATCTTCCTTTTCCTCCTCTGGAGGCTCTTCCTCTTCTTCAGCATCAGTTAACTGTACCTCCTGGTGATTGGAAGAACGATCTGGAGAGATGGGTTCAAAATAATCCTCTCTCCGTTCACTTTCATCCACTTTATTTGGACCCACTGAAAGAACAAGCCATGAATTTAACCATTAGCAATACCTTACACAATACATATACAACACAAGAAAAGTTCTGTTACAAACAGTTTGCTATGAATATTGCCCATTGGCATTCATTTCAACTACCTGTATTAAATGGTTTTAAGAAATCTACTAATTAAAATGATGTCCGATAGAAAGTCAGTAAGCAAACAAACCAATTCACAACACAGTCAAAGCTTCTCTTCAAATACTCCCCCAACGTAGCAGTCACCAGAAACTGAGCATTTCATTTGTTCAGAAAATCATAAGACATAGGAGCAGAACTAGGTTATTCACACCATCAAGTCTGCTCTGACATTCAATGAGATCATGGCTGATCTCAATCCTCAATTCCACTTTTCTGCCTTATATCCAGAACTCTTGATTCCATTACTGATTAATAATCTGTCTATCCCAGCCTTGAAAATAATTAACGATCCAGCCCTGACAGCACTCAGCAGTTAAGAGTTCCACAGATTCACTACCATCAGAGAAAAAGTTCATCTTCATCTCTGTCTTAAATGGGCAACCCCTTACTCTGAGTGTTTGCCTTCTGGTCCTTGACACTCTAACAAGGGGAAACTACCTCTCCACATCTACCCTGTCAAGCCCGTAAGAATCTCAGAAGTTTCAATAAAGTCACTTCTCATTCTTCTAAACTCCAATGAGTACAAGCTCAACCTACTCAACCTCTCTTCACAAGACATACACTGAATCAACCTTCTCTGGACTGCGTCCAATGCCAGTACATCTTTCTTTAGATAATAGGACTTAAACGTTTTACAATATTCAAGCTGTGGTCTGGCTAGTGCTTTAGGTAGTTTCAGCAAAATTTCTCCACGTTTACACTTCATTCCATTTGAAATAAAAACCAATAATCCATTGACCTTCCTTATTCCCTGTTGAATTTAGACACTAGTTTTTTATGTTTCATGCGCTATGGCCACCAAATCTCTCTTTTCCGGCACCTTTCTGAAGTCTTTCTGATTTTAAATTATATTCAGCTCTTCATTTCTTCCTGCCAAAGTTATATTTTACCACATTATATTCCACTTGCCAGATTTTCATGCATTCACTCAACCTGTTTATATCAGTCTGTAGATGGTTTCATCCTCAATATTTGGC